ATTTAATTTTCATACAAATTTTCATATGAATAATTGCACGTCTAAAAATATATTTTCCAGTTTGCACTCTCCTTTTATCTTTAGCATTTATAATTTATTTAATAAAACACAGGTATTTTTAATTTAACATAGTTGCGTTTAATATCAGACACGTGTTTAATCTATTATAATGTATCCATATTTAATAAAACTTTTAAATACATTTATTCTCAAAATAACATCAGTTTTTGCATTAACATTGCTAAAGGACATTATTTATTGTAGCGTGCAGCATTATTTCTCACATCCGTGCATTATATTTCATATCGTCGTGAGCTTAACATTTAACGTTGCGGCCTTTATCCGCTGCACTACTTCGAAAGGCCATGAAAGACGATCGGCACAACAGATTTTATTTTGTTGGGTGTGTTACACGTGCCATCTTACCCACCTACGCGCATACCGGATTTCGGGATCACCTTGTTATAAATTCCATGCGATAACACCGTTAATCACGTCGATCGATCGGCTACCTTTCTTTGTCGAATGTTTTTACTGGCGCACAAAAATATGTATGCACGAAAATATTTATCACTAGTGACGTGTCAAATTCCATCGGCTGATAATACATGGAGATCCCAATAAGTATAATAGGATAATTAATAGATAAAGGAATGATCCCGAGTTTTGTATCCCTCGGATAAAAAATCTTATTTCAATTCTTCTGATATAAATTTACGAAGCAAGTTATAGCCAATAATACTAATTTACTGAATAATTTTTAATGGAAGAAAAGGGAACAAGTTTTATATTAAACCTTCTTTATTAAACGTTTTGGATGATGAGTTCAAATCTCAGAAAAGTTCCATCAAATCGAATTTTTTAAATATAACATGTTATGTCAATTTTTAGATAATGATATTTCTTCCGAACAATTAAGGTGCAAAGTGAACGTTTCCTTTAGGATTTGGGAGACGTTATCAGAGATATTGAAATGAAATGTTAGGCAACTACTGCTGCAAACAACAAAATAAAAAAACAAAAATTAAACGCTCAATATCTCTTTTTTTCTAATTTTAAATAAAATATCATTTTTAAAATATCAATTTTTCTATGAAACTTTCCTATACAATTTGAACAAATGTCTTTTTTTTATATCTCAAAAATTGGACCTGATGGAAATATTTCGACAAATTCAGGTTCAGCGAAAATTATTTTAAAAGCAGTTTTTATGTACTCTTGTCGAAAACCTTAAGGTGATTCTTTAGTAAATTTTTTTTACAAAAAATTTGAGATGCCCCGCCAGGATCCATCCAAAATTATAAATATCTGCTTAATTTGAATAAAATATTAAAACTATGTGTGTCTAATTTGTCTTAATGAAATAGTATGGAACATACGATAGAAAATCAAGAACTGCATCTTCATCGATTAAATTTATATGCAAATTTATGCACGTAAATATCATTTTCAGAATGGTTGTTGACCTATTACTTTTTTGTGACAATTAAAATCGTAATTTTTTCAACTATTATAATCTCATTTTAAAAAAAAAATTATGTAAGATTTGTGTGCAGTTAATCAAAGAAGCGTGAGCTTAATTTGTCATTAAGTTACATTTTCAACATTTTTTTCTCTCTTATTTCATCGTTAATTTATCGTAGAATTTTGTCCATGTCAATTCTGGTACTTCAACTTCATTATATAAAAAAATTAGACATTTTTATTGTAACTCAATTTAATAAAGAATCTTAATGTAAATCTAGTGTAATCAAAGATCAAATTTCACATTTGACTAAATATATAATACAGAATATAGATCAGGCTAATAAACTTAAAAAATTTGATGTGAAAGTTGATCCAATTATCTTAGTAAGAAGTTATTTTTATTTTTATGCATTCTTTACTTATATCTTTTTATACAAGAATTAATATCGCCAGTATAAGTGCTGAATTTTTGAAATTTAAGAAAATGGCTTTCAATATTGCATTACGTTCTACCACCATCCGAATTTACGGAGTTTTATATCGACTCTCTTTCTTTCTCTTGCCAGGAAATCTCTAACTTTTTGCAGCGCATTAGTAATCGCAACTTGGTTAATTAGAACAATATTTTCTGGTAATTGCTTTCATTAGAATACCACGGCTACCTGTTATTCTTTCTCTCGCCGGCATGTAATGCTATAGTTACGTATATCGATTAACGGTGCGATGGATGTAATACTGTACAGCTATTCCACAGCTATATATCTCGCGATAAGAGCAGCGATAGCGCTTTACGTGTATTAAGGAAATTGCAAAGTCGCCTCTATTTCGGGAAATCGTGCAAATTTTTCAGGCCGTACCCCCATGTAAAATTTTTGCTTATTCGAATGAATATTCGGCATTTGATGCATATTGTTCGGGCTCTATAAATATTTATAAAACGCGCGTCGCATGCGCGAAACGCATGAAAATATTTAACGAGAATTTTGTTAAATATTAGTTAGGTAAAAAGGTATGAAAACATACATACTACGCAAACGGCTTTTTCACCGTCGTTTTGTTTAACTCTGTTTGCACACACCAAGCATTTTCCAAGCTCGATCAGAAAAAAAAACGTTTGAAGATAAATAAGTTTCTAGATGCGTTCGATTCCGATCTGTGCTCGTAGCGTTCATTTTCTGCAAATTCTTCGGGGCATAACCGCAAGAATACGTATAAGCATCGATTTGTATATTTGTTTACTCTTGTTTACTCTTCCGGAAGAGGAATAGGAAGCAAGACGAAATCTATTTACTGTTAGTTTTCCTTTCTGCGAATTCCAATCAGAAAGATTGCTGATTTTGACAAGCAACATATTCATATACAAGAATATATTTACATTCCAAACTTTCTTCTTAAATATTCCAGTAGGATATTTTTATTTTTATTTATTTTTTTTTTTTTAAACAATTATTCCGCCTTTTGAGGTGTCTGCTCTAATTATATATAGACAATAGAATTCTAATGAATTAATTTTCATGTATAATAATGTTGCTTATAACGTTGTGAACAAAAGATGTCATAGACACGAGACTCAATAATGAATACTTTTTGATCGTGTATCAAGGATGCTCTGTGAGCACAAGTTTTACACATTTGATACATCGTAGCTCAAAAACCATCCATTATTCAGCCTTGTATCAGTATGACATTTTTTCATCACATTGCAAGCTACATATATGTGAAAAATAACTTATTTCACCGGGATCCAATTTTTCATAGAATTAGCGTGGGATCCTTTGTGAGATTTTAATCGCATTGGCTATCGTGCAGCGTAAATTTTCGACGAAAATCTCATTCACATATACATCGCAATTACATTAATGCGGGTCCAGTTCCACATGAGGATTCCCTTAAATGCGATCATCGATGATGGTCAAATGGCGATACATTGTTAGAGCGAAGGCATGATCTACGGGTGCGGTATCATTTTGCGATAGATCCAGAGCACGAATTGTTGCGCAACGAGAGAGTGACGGGCACGTATGAGCTCCCACACACGAATAAGCGACTCATTACCCGCGAGACATTATTACCGCGGTCGCGCACACACATACAAGCCGTACGTATCGCGTACGTATCGCGTACGTATCGCGGAAGTTGCCTTCCGTAAAGCTGCGTGATAATCTGCAGAATACACGCATGGCGCGACACTACTGACTTAATGCACCGACATCAACGGGGGATATTTGAAATTCCAATTATTACCATCTGTCTTGAGAAAAAAGGAGATATCCCTATATTTATGTTTTATAGATAAGGCATTGTGTTCGTAAAAAGAAATTCTTTCCTTTTCAGACTTTCATTTGAACGACCTGTTTTTTTCTTTTCTTTTCTGTTTTTTTTAACTAAATATTCAAGCACATTCTTTTCTTACCAAAGAAAGTAATAACTTTTCATAGGTTCATAAATTTTGATACATTCAAATGAAATTTTATGAAGACACAATTTTCATTTGCAAGCTGATTTTATAATTCGAATAACTTCGTTCGTAACCTCAATATGTTATTTTTATATTTCTCCGGTTAAATATCGCAGAATTTACTTTGAATCGATGCAATGAATTATTATTGTGAAAGATATTCGTATAGGTGACGATGATAGAAAATAATAAAATGTTAATAATTAATCTTTTAATCACACACAACAGCTATTGATTAGTCGATCGTATATTAATTGTAAGCAAGATTCGTATGAAGCGAACGACGGAACGCGCGGTAATTGATATACCATAAACAATACCAAATGTCCCTGTAGGCGCACACTGACGGAAGTTACGCTCAGACAAACCGCATGTAAGCGGGATGTGAGACTGACGCCCGCGATGCAATCATGGCTGTACGTTGCATTTCCGGCCGTTCGTACGATGCGTGAGCGATATTTGCGCACACCTCTATGATCTACCTGTCAGAGGCACACAAATTCGCACTCTCACGCGTACCGCATTTGCGAATCTCTGTGTTAAAGCGCAGAAGTGCGGAGGCGCTAATGAAAATAACGGGTTACATTCGCACCTGTATTTAACATTTGATTTGACACAGCCGCCATTGAGTTCGTATCTTCAGCGCGTATTCAACGTCAAAAATACCATATACTCGTTTCCATTAAATACAGCATTCACAGAGGATGAATAAAATCAATATTTTATCGCGGCTGTATCTAGCATGAAACGTGTGATGAAAATACGAACGGATGATTGCGTATTGATAAGAATTAGTTAATATGATATTGAAACAATTCTAGATGATATGAAATTTCTTTTCTTTTTATTATAGTCCTCTTTCTACGGTTTATTACGAATTATTTCTCTTCACTTTCTTTTCTTCTTTTTATTTTATGTTTCAAACATATATATTTTTGTTTTTAATTGCAGAGAGAAGAGAAAATGTGTAATGTAATTAAGAGGAACAAACATATATTGAAAAAAATCAAAACTATATTACACACATACACACACACATACACACATGCCGTCTCGAACTGTAAATGTTACGTACCAGTAAAGTAAGAAAAACTGGGCATAGCCATGTCGAAGTTCATGGTTTCGAACTCATCCTCATCAGACGAATCATATCCTAATCCACCTGTAATAAAAATAATTATCATCAATATAAACTATATTTTTATGGTGAAAATCAACGTACTTGCAAAATCTTATCGAATCTTTCTTAAAGTAATATATATTTTAAATCTTAAAATTTTTTTATTTTTTTTAAATATTCCAGTGCATATATATACATATATATATTTATTTGTATATGGAAATTACGTTGTATTCTTTATTTATCAACGACAAAATCAAATTGTTTTACAACTTTTTTTTTAAAAGTGTGTCAAAATTTACGTTGTCACTAGCGTTTTCTATTTGATCGAAAGATTCTTACATTATAAACAATATTACGTTAGTAATATATACGTAATCATTGATGAATTTAGTTTATTCAATTGAATTCGATCTATTTTATTTTTATTTCACACATTTACTTCAATGCATTAAAAAATTAAAATATGTTATATCGATGAGCAAATTTATTCTGCAATTTATTTAGGACATGCTATTTAAAACTTCCTTCTCATGTTCACCGTGGCAGTGCAGCGCTGCGACATACACGTGGAAAAGTCATAATCGCCTGGGCAATTAGCCGCGAAATAACCATTAATTACATCATACATCATCCAATCCAGATAGTGGTGTGGTCGTGAAGGATTTCTAACGAATATTACCGACCGGTGTGGCTGCGACACCTCAAATCTACGTGAATTTTTTTGCAAAATCGTCCGATGTAATATTTAACTTCTAACGAATAAAAACATTTTATAAATAATCTCACGAATTTTTTCAAATTTTTACGTTACTGCACTCGTGACGGAAAAAAATTTTCCATAAAAAATATGAACTTTGATGAAAAAAAAAATTAATTCTAGGTATTGTCGAAGAAATAAAAAACTCGTCGTGTTGATATCGAGTAACGTACACCGTTAGATATCAAAAGAGCAATAGTAATTCAATCCCTTGAGCTAGAAATAACATTTTGTTATTTTTAACATCCATGTGTCAAAATGTAAATCAATCTATTTTCTGTGATTAGTTTCACGTCAACAGTGTCCATATTACTGTATACCGTAAATAACAAACTGAATCAAATTTAATACATTTTAAAAAATTAAATTGGTTAACTCCATTGTGTTAATTAAATTAATGATATATTCAATAGGAGCAATGACGACCTATAGAAATGATAAAAAATAATTCATATTGAATATAATTTGACATAATCAATTTATATTAATACGCGTTCCGATAAAAGCTCTAAGAAAAGATATATTGAGAAATTAGGAGAAACGAGGACGAAAGTGACACAATGATGTGAGGATAAAGGTAAGGTCGTGCCACGATATACTCACATCACCGGCGAGATCGTGGCGTTTCCACCGATTATCCAATTCGGTCGTCGTCAATTCGCATTGACGGGCGGGAGTGTAGGTGTCAATTTCAGTCAATCTATTCCCCTTCTGCATGCAAGAAGCGCAGTAACGCGGACCCGAGAAAATCCGCGAGCGTGAGCTCACAACTGAAAAACGCCGGTGAAGATTGATAGGGCAGCCCCGAAACGCCTCTGACGGAATCGTGAAAAGGGCCGATCTTATCGTATCCGCATCCGCGGAAAAATCGATCCTCGGGCGTGATATTAATTTCGAGGGAAAACGGTTACGTGTCACAAATTAAATTGTTAATTTCGCGGGATTGATAAAACACGCGCCGCTCGCATCGATCGCTCGTAAAAGCACAAATTTTCATCGCGTAAGAGATTAATAATACGTTACGAATTTATACGTTCACTATGCATTACCGCGTTGATAAATAGTGACGATTAATTATTTATATTGCAATTCACATGCAAAATATATGAACATCTATCGGCTCCGTTGTGTTTTAATACTTTACCGATATTGTTGATTATTGTGATGCGGCACTTTTTGCGCTTTAATTGAGAGAACGGAAGTACGCTTTTACCTCAGAAATTTAATCTGTGACGATTTTTTGCTAGGTCGATTATAACTATTCGGGCTTTCACAGCGCGTGCGTTAAGGAGTTACATTAGTATATATAAAAAAAAAAACAAGAATAATATAAATATTCATATAAATATATATTCGCTATAACGGAATTAATTCTTTCTGTAAATAATTTTCAATTTATATACGCCTTATAAATTGCGTGGATTCCTTCCGTGATTACGACCCGCCCTCTCCGCCGGTGGGGTATTTCGCCAGTAAATCTAGTTGTCCAGCACCAATGTGCAAATTCTGCGTGATGGATGTAGGATAGCGCATGAACGGCCTGCGGCATCGCGCTCACGGGCGTTGTTCCCCTGAGAAATTTCCGCCGGATCGATCTATCGGGTTCGCTCGTTTTTTACACTTCCCACTTTTCTCCGTTCCCACCGCCCGTTCGCTTCTTCGAGTGACATTAGGCGGGCTTAATGCGGTGCCGCGGTAAAAAGGGGAACCGCGGATGCGGGGGTACGTAAGTACGACGCAGCGTCGCGACGCGACTGCCATTGACTGCAGGATGAAATAGAAGTTTTGCCAGGAGCGGCGGATAGTAAACGCGTTTTGCGAACCAAATTTCCGGGAAATTCGGGATTTTTCTTCGGGATATATACGAGATATTAAACAAAACGAGATATTATAATGCCTCAAAAACAATTTTGTCAACAAATATACATATTTTTCGACAAAATTATCTTGTACGTTGTTACATAAATCTATAGTTAAATTTAACTTAATGTTAATCGCCATTGCGCTTCTGCTCAATTATATCGGTTGAAATTAAAACAGTGCTTATTTTTCACACTGTACAATGTCAATTTGACACCTACAACGTCAAATTGACACGATATGATATCAAATTTAATTATCGTTTTAGTGCAATACAGATCTGTCCAATTTGAGCTTCGGAGCCGAAACGCAAAGTTATCGACGCAAAAAAATTTTATGTAGGTAAGATTTCGGGGACCATAAAGTGTTGATATGGATCCGAGTGACGCTTATCAACACTTTATAGTGTTTCCCAAAATTTTACACTCACACTGAATTTTTTTACGTCGATGACTTTGCATTTTGGCTCCGGAGCTCAAATTGGACAGGCTTGATATAAAATAACAATATGTTTAGTATAAGCCAGTGACTTACATTAGATTAAATTTGACACTATAGATTTAACAATGTATAAATTATTTTTTATAAAGTCTATTTAGCGTTGAAATTATTTTTTAAAAGATCCCTTTTCAAATAGATTCGCTCCTGAAATTCGGCGTTTCCGCAGTGTCCTCGGGATCGGCTGGCAAAATTCCACTTCTTATGGATGGATCACCATCGTGTAGCTGTCAAAACCAGATATCCTCCGGCGTGGCAGCGAAAAGAGTGACGAGTATCGTTAGATATTCCCAGCATTCTCCTCGAATTATCGTGCATCTGGATTAGAATCGCGAATTGGATTTACGTGTGAATACCAAGATATAGTTTGCAATTCGCGTAACTATGGATTCTCATAGAAGAAATACGGCAAAAATACGAGAATAAATACGGCGAAAATTAAAAGTACAAATACACGTACTAAACTCTTTATTACCGCGGTTGAAATCGATTTTCTGGGGTGGACAAATTTTATTTTTTTTTATTTCGCTTTTCTCAAGCGCTGCTCGATATTAGTTTCATGACCAACACTCAGTAATCTGCCGGTTAATTAAGTTTACAATCGGGTATCAAGTTAGCGACTCTTTTTATGCTTTTTATGCTACGTTGAAAGTAATAAACTGCATTCCAAATACAAGAATACAGGGATAGAGATTTGGGATGTGCAGTCATCGTCGACCGATCGGAATGCTTAATTGGAATGCTTGTCGATTCGATCGATCCACCATACAGCATTTCGATATAAGGTAATTACAGTAATTGCGGCAAAGTATTAATAGTTTCATGAGCAATATAATATATGCACATGATACATTATATGGTAAAACACTCTAATTAGCACTAAAACATGGAAAGTCCGTCTCGAAACTTCACCTTCCTTTCGGTAAATTTGACAGCAAACATATTAATGGAAAACGAACTCTCCCTTTCCCTCTTTTCGCTCACGATATTCAAAACGCGTCATCTTACTCGTTAAAAGTAAACGTAGTTTGCTGAAGACGATCTGTATAGCAGCAATTACCGTAGAAGATAATGAAGCCGTCAATCAAATAGGGTATTAATCCGATTCATCGAAATTGACGTGAATAGATGATGATTTCTATTGTTATTACGAGCGTTCTCTCTCTCTCTCTCTCCCTCTCTCTCTCTATTTCTATCTCTACATTGAGAAAAAAGTTGTTAACTTGACTAAATGCGTTTCGTTCGTAGTGATTATTTAGTTCAAATATTTATGTATTTACATTAACAAAATCCTGAAATTTAAAACATGATATTTGTTTGAACTAACAAATATTTTCTGACGGCCCATGATTACGCTACATTTAGTTAGATCAACTAATTTTTGGAAATAACAACTTTTTTTCTCAGTGTATCTATTTCTATTTCTTTACATCTCGTTCTCTATACTATTACAGATATTATCCGTGCAGGAAAGTTTCGTAACAAGAGCTTAATACACGATAAAGCCGTTGTGAAAAATGCTCGCTACCGACGACGACGATGCATCAAATTAACAACTTAACAAGTTCGCATCGAACGATAGTTAGAAATACCTGCGGATTATAAGCGATTACAGAGAACGAAGAGCAATAAAATTTCGAACCATTTCGCTCAGATTCCGCGGAAATTGCCTTTGTTTACAGCGTAATATCATATTAATGGAGCGCTTAATTAACTGGGAAGTTCGAGTATTATACTCGCGTTATTTATAACGAAGATACTGCGACGTTCGGCTATTTGCACGAAAACCTCCTCGCTTTCGAACAGTGCAAATTTACCCGGAAGGCAAAATATTTCACTTGGTTGTTTAAAGATATTCTGCATTTCCCTTCTGTTTCAAGATTATCTCGTTCAAATAGATCTGAAGTTTAAATTTAAAGGGAAA